CTTCGAATGCTTCCCTCGACTACAATTTCTCTAATGGATAGCATAGCAACGATGCTATGAACATTAAGCTTCTGTTCAGAAAGAGAGAGAGACATAATGCGAGCCGCAATCCGCAAAATAATCGAAACCTCAACAACGATGCTCGACGATGAAGAGAAGAGAGTTCTCGAGCGTCGATGATGATCTCACTAAAGTAGCAAACCGCAATTCAATCCTAATTCCTGTAGTCGATTCGTGCGAAACGTATCGTCCAATTGAGACAATTTGCAAGCATGGACGGAGAATTAGTCCGACATGGCCGAGAATCAAGATGGTAAACCCTTAAATGTTCTAACCCTTAACCCCCATAATCCTTCTGTTTCGATCGCTACTTCACTCAATCTAAACTCAACCATCCAATAACTTGATGTGAAAAAACGAGAATTTGATAAAATTTAACTCTCGAAAGCCAAGAGACGAAGAATTCTTCGAACAAAATTCTTTTAACGACAGGTGGAGAGGAAAGATGGAGGGAAGGTTTCCAGCCAAGAGGAAACGCACTGCCACGGCACAGAGGCTGGCAGCAGAGCGGATGTCATTTCGTGGTCGACTTATTTCGTTACCGGTATAGGTAGGTAGATAGTACCAAGGCTTCCCATTCCTTTGTGTCCACCTCTTTCATTATTTTACCCAACTTCCTGCGTCCGAAAGCGACACAACGGCTTCTCTCGGCTACGATCGTCTCCGCGATGCCGTTCCTCCTCTCCGTCTCCCCCCTCCCTCCTACCTTCTTCGCGGCCATCCTTCCCCCTCCCCCAGCCCCTTCCCCCCTTTCACCTCCGTTCCTTTCTCGCGTTTCTTCCTCTTGCGCGCGACTCTTTGAAAACGCCAACCTTGTTCCATTCTTAACGACCGTTCTTCGAGTCAAAGACATTGGGCAATAAGCGTCGGACCGACTACGAGTTATCGTGTTGACGCGTGGGCAGATGCCTGCCCTCTTCTTTATTCTTCACAAGGAACATCAAAGCCAATCTCTCTTTCTCCGGGAATAGCAGTGATCCTAGGGCACGATGTAGTTTATTCTCTTCACGGATGGAAATCTGCGTTATGATTTACGACGAATAGGGATACAAGATATGAATATATAGTGGATAGAAATTCACTCGTGCATTCGACTCGATCGAAATTTCATCCGATATTCTTTTCGGACTCGACCATCTTTTTACAAGAAAATTAAAATAAATTTAAAATAAACTTAAAGCAAACGCTATCTCTTTTTACAATTAACGAAAGTGTATCTTAGTGTGAAGTAAATATAATTATTCTTAATCTTTACGAGTGATAAATATACAAGTCTGGTATTTTTGGTATTAAGGGAAATGAAAATGTAAATAATTAAATGAAATAATTGTGATTATTTCTCTTGGAAGGTTGGGAAACACTGAGCTAGATAGATATCGATATCGGGCTCCCCCCCTTTTTTTTTCTCTCTTACCTTCTCCCTTTTTATTTTTATGGAATTAGGCTCGAATTCGAGCTAACAAACAGTTGCATTTCAGTTTAAATTATTGTATCGTCGAGAAACAACGACGCGTGGAATCATCCGTCGATGCATGTTCGATCAATCGATTCTCTGCGCTTTCTCTTTTTTGAATCATAAGATTCTTTATAATAACTTTCGAAGGAAATCGATGATTTCTTTCTTTAGAGAATAGGGAATATCAAAATTTTTATACAAAGAAAAAATCGATCACAGTAACGAAAAAAATTTTTGTCCATTGAATATAAAGTTAGAATTTAATTTAACGAGAATAGATAGAACGTGTAAATAAACGTTACTTAATTTACGACGTTTCTTTATGTCAAATTAGGAAGTTGTTCTATTGTTGACACAGAAACAATTAAAAATTAGGTAACGAGTACCGTTCATTAACATGACAATACATACTCACACGGTCTCGGTTATTTAGTACTAATGGAAATTGAACGACCTCGATGAAAAAGATTCCCTCGTATTTCTCAGATTTCTTTCTATCTTTGTCTACGCATTTCGAATCGTGCATTCAAGGATTAAAATTAGTTTATTATTAATGCATATACAACAATTGCGTCACGCGATAATTTAAAAATCGCAAAATGCGTAAAAAAAAAAAAAAGTGGATATATATTACGATGCGCAATAACGATTTCATAAAACGCTCAAAGCGTAACGATGTCAAGTTCGGGCTGTGTTTTGCGCCAGTTTCGGGGTCGTTCCCACGTAAAAGCAGCGGATACAATAACCTGTTGTGTTACCGTGAACGTAGCCAAACTTGAATCTCTCCGATCTTCACGGATTGCGAGCAGACAGAAATCAGAAAATCTTCCCGGCTATTCGGTTAAAGTCATACCATGACGAGCGGTCGTGACGGTTCAACCGACACTTCCGCCGCGCGTACCTGCACGGCCGGAAGCGTGCTCCTCCCCCTTACATCCTGAGGATCACATATGCTCGTTTTACCAATAACGACATCCCGCATTTTCGAACTTTTCACTCGATACTCATCCGCCGGGTTTCCACTAAACCATAAAGTCAATTTATAGTCTACACCGACTTCCATTTTATCGAACGAACGTGGAATTTTAAAAAGTTCGAACATGTTTCCAATGAATCGAAAGAAATTTTGTCTTTCTTAAGTGGAAAACTGGAATTTATAGTAAGTCTTATTTTCTGAAATTTTTTAGGAAAAATTGGTCTTTTAATTTTATTCTAACGTATGTTTACATAATCGTTTGAAGAATTTTGTTAATTTGTTTTTTAAAAATGATGAAACTTGTAATATATATATATAAATGTAGAAGATATTTCGATTGTTAATTAATATTAGCTATGAATTTTCAAATAATAAAAGATGTGACATGATAGAAAATACAATTATTTATCTTTTATATTAAAAAGTCAATTCTATTAAGATATATTTAAATTATTTGTTAGTTGCTATTTCAAATGAGATGAACGAGTTTTACTTTGGAAAGTAAAGTAGATTTCAAACGGTAAAATGAATGGATTACAGTAAGTAAAGAAGATATCTTACTAACCGACTAAATCGTATTGACTGTCGGTAAGTTACCTTTGCCTCTCGTATATATCTACTGTGTTCCTTCTCGTAGATGAAAGAAAACTGTTATATCGATCCATAGTAAAATATCGGTCGATCCAATAGATTTTCTTTTAAACTTAGAGATAATACTTGTAAATCTAAGTTTCTCACGGTATTACTTACTGTTACACGTGTTATACATATGTTTACATACATTTGGATACCACGTGGAGAAAGATCGCAAAAAAGCAAATAGGATGTATTTACTTGCTTTTTCATTTTTTAAAATCTTTCACAAATAAAACTTTTCCTAACGTTTAAATTATTAATTGAAATACGAGAATAAATAAAGAATAGATATTAAATAAAGTTATATTGTCAATTTCATCGATCCATTTTATAAAACAAAAAAGATCATTCAATCTTTTCTGTCGCATCGTAAGAAAAAAGATCCCTCATTTTTCTTAGACTCATGTCAACAGCTCCTAATCGTAAACGATTCTCCTAGTCATTATACGCGTTATACCAAAACTTCACTAAAACCCTACTTTCGTCAATTCATTCCGACCATTGATCGATGTCGAACAAAGAAATATCCCTATATTGTTAAACTTTACTAGACAACCGCAACACTGAAAATTGACACTCAAATGATCCCCACGATCATTTTCAATCGTACGAATCTTCCCCTCCCTCTCGGTCCAATACGTGACTGGCGAAATTCTCCCTTCGAAATCTACATAGACTAAAAATTTTATAGATACTGAGCCGGCAGAAAGAAAAAAAAAGAAAAGGAGAAAGAGAGAGAGAAAACAATCCTGATTGAAATTCAAGCAGCGCGTGACCAAACGATTCGTCCTATAGCTTTTTGTTATCCGTACCATGGATGATGACGTTCATTTATCTTCGAGTGATTCGCAGCAGACAGATTGAGATTCCGGTTGCACGTGGATACTATTAGCCAGACAAGTGAGCTCGCGGAACTGATTCTGCATACGTACAGAATTTTTCAACCACAATGGAGTCTTAACTACTCGGGCCTCCTGCCAAACACCTCGCCACGGTTTATTTCTTTTTTTGTTTCCTTTTTTTATTCTTTCTTTATTTGCCACAGAAAGAGATATATATATGTATACATCTCGCCGCCGTTTATCTTTCTTTTTCTTTCTTTTTTTTTATTCTTTATTTGCCACAGAAAGATATATATATATATATTATTGTATTATACCATAAATACGAAATATATATCGTTATATATCGTACAGATATGAGATATTTTCGTTCCATTCCATCGTATGCGATTATTTCTAATTAATTCGCGACGACAGCTGATATCCATCGAGATAGCGATATGCGTTACATGTTTTCAAATATAACTATGCAAAGTGTCATGGATATTATCGTTCGATCGATATCTCTCGATTAATTTCAATTAACGTTGGTTTATTAACATTCATCGAAAATGAACTTGTTTATCTAATTATACGTTAAATTCGAGACATATTCCATTCGTTCTATCGTCAACGTGCCAATGAGAAAACCATATCGATCGATATCAATCGTGAAGCGATAATAAATTGGAACACGTCACAATTTTTAAAATTATTCCCGCCTTCGTGAAAATTAATACGAATCGTCATCGATTTTTTCGTTCGAACATCAAAAATTTGATTAGACCCACACGACGAATTATTATTAAAAGAGTGATATAGATACCGATCTACAAATCATATATACGGGTGATATATACGGGTATCGGCGTTAATTCGTATCCCTTAAGACAAGATCAAACTAACAATTTTCTCCACAGTTTCTCTTAAGGAGATTCTTATAAAAATAATTATTAAATTACAAAATATTAAAAATCATTAGGAATGTAAATTTTGGCAACAGACTTAAGCAACGCAAAACGTGAAATAAGCACGTTAACGTGTGTTTTACCTGAGAGAAGTAAGGCGGTAGAACGCATCGTTGATCATCGAGACGCGAACACTGCACTCTTTCCAGCAATTCGAATAAATCTTGCGTGGTACTCTGCAACGGAAGAGCAATCGTTCAAAAGTCAATCGACAAATTACAACGACGAGTTTATCGAATTTTTTTAATCAAATAATTTATATATAATTTATATATCATATAATAATTTCAATCCAAAATTCTCACCTTGATCTTCTCCTGTTGATTGCCACCCGGTTGAACATCTTGCCTCTCCTCCTCGGAAGCGCTACGCCGGGACTCAGCCTCGCAATACACGGATTGCTCGAGCTGTTGTCTCCTGAAAAAAAAACGATAATCATCCGTGTGAAAAGATTTTGATTTGATATTGTAACAACGTTCCTTTTTTTTTTTTTTTTTTTTTGTACTTTTTCTTTTATATTTTGATTACATTTACGAAAACTCGTAAAAATGATGAACACGGATGTATCATTCGTTATCGTCGCGCATCGAAGAATGGTCGAGAGATTAACGTCGAGAAGCAGATGGGCCGGACGCGATCGACTAGACATTCTGGAAAAAGTCGTGAAGATCGCCTAATTCGACGCCCCCTCCTACGAGAATCCTTCGAAACAACCATCTGGCAGCAGCTGCTGCTGCTGCTGCTTGCTTGCCCCCCTCGGCCATCACGCACGATCTAATTTTCTTTTCGTTTATCTCGGATTAACATTTCGTCCAAATTTATGGATACCTATACGGATAGTCGTAGGAATATATAACGTGATGTTTGTTCAAAACGAGCAAAGAATTTTGGAAATTAATGATACGTGTAAACATTTTTTCTTATTTTCATCTTCTTTTTCTTTTATGCCGTATTATCATTGAAATAGTGTAACCAGTGATAGGGAAAATTTAATAATTGAAATTATGGAATAAATTTTACTTCGATAATTTATCGTTCAAAATATAATAATAATTGTAATGCAAAACGATCTGAGATTATAATAACTACGAATAAATGTTATTCAAGCATTTTAATAAGTAATTATTTAAAGTAATCTTTATTCGAAATTTTTAACTAGTTACTTTTTCAACTCTGTCGATAACCTTTACGCCAATAGGTAATGCGAAGTCATTTTCGTTCACTTGAATTGAATATTCCTCCAATAAAATTAATATAGGAATCAATTTACGTACGATTTTCTCTTTAATTCAATCTCGACAAATTTCTCGCAAAAAAAAAAAAAAATTACGTTATACTTCTATAGATCCAACCGTGTATACATTTATCTACAATTGAACGCGAATCAACCAATTGAAATGCGAATTCAATCCGATACATTATTCAAATTCTAACCCTCCCCTCGACCTTGCTTTCAACTTTATTCTTCGAGGAAGCGGAACGTACGTTTCGTACAAAGATAAGAACGTAAGGAAATCTCTCAAGTAGGTTGCACACTGTATCGATTCATTCGCTTTAAATCCTTCTTTCCACCGAAAAAATCGCGTGTCCTCGAGAAATAACGATAATTCCCTGTTTCTCTTCCAGATGGAGCGTCGATCGTTTTTATCCATCCAGCGGAGAGAATCGGAACTACTGTTCGCAAACGCTGGTCGTGTCATACGGTTCGAGATACGAAAACCACGGTTTTAAAATTACATTCGTTCGAAAGAAAAATGAGAATGAAAACTCGATATCCGGACTGGGTAATCCAATTTTCACGTTATATTTGAAATTCTGTGAAAGAAAGGTATATTTATACGAAAGGTACACGCGGTCAACTCGACGTCGCTAAATTCGATTAGCAAAAGCGAGACTCGGTCTCTCAGGTTTAACCCGAGAGAATTGTTCCGAACGATCGATCGACCCATAATGTCAAATCGAAATCGTCTGGGTTTATCGAAGAATTCGAAGTGAAATGCGCTTTAATTTTTTTTTTTTTCGATCAAATTTTTCCTAATTTTTCTCCGTTTCTTTTTTTATCTCCAGATTATCGCATCACGTTATTAACACAAATTCGTAATGTACGTTCTCCTTCTAGACCAGAATTGGGCATTGATCCAAGTTGAAATAGTAATTAGTTAAAAATCTCGAGTGAAGTTATCTCAAGTAATTACTTATTAGAACGCTCGAATAACATTTATTTCCAACTATTATAATTAACTTTCGTAAAAAAACTCGACCTTTCCCATTACTTCCGATTATTATTATTTTCGAAGAATAAATTAAAGCAACTTATGGAAGTAATTTTAACCGTAAAATTTTCCCCGTCGCCGTTCTAGACAAGCATTCGAGAAGCTTGGAACTCGAAAGGAAAGAAGATTTCCAAGCGTAAGGAGAGAAATACAGGAGACTTTTCTCACAAAGGGATGCGCGACGATCGATTTCAATCCGATTCGATGACAGTTTTACGCCGTGTCTCTTTCACACTGTGAGCCAGAGTTGGCCATTAATCCGTTGAAAAAATACCTAGTTAAAAATTTCGAACAAAGAGATAAAGAATAATATTTATTCGTAATTATAATTGATCCGCTTCTTTGCCATTTTTACGATTATTTGCGATTTATTATTACGTTTTAAATCGTTAAAACGACTTCAACTATTAAACTTTCGAATCAACGATAGCTATAGGAAATACGTTGGAGCATATTGCCGGAAATATCTCGGCCTTTGGTCGCGGACTCTTCAAAATCGGAACGCACATCTGCTCCACCGATTTGGAACAGTCAAGAGGACCGCGATTAACACTTTCAACGTTCTGTTGCCATTCAAATGTTCACCATTATATCCCATTATTACCCATTATTACAGTGAGCGTTTCACATCGAAAGATTAAAATTTCCAATTTTTGAGAGAGGAAGAAGAAAGAGGAAGTAAGAGAAGAAAAATAAGAAAGATAATTGTGCACTCGATTGGATCTCTCGATCGCGTCACGTTGTACAGGTAATTTAAATAATCCGAGCAATTCAGAGCAACTGTGTATCTCCCCGTTCCTCCTCATTTCCCTTCTTATTTCGATTACAAATAATATACAAAACAATCCTAATAAATGATTCCAATAATTTCTCTATCCTCGTATTTTTATTCTCTTTTTATTCTCTTTCTCTCTCTCTCTTTTTCTCGATTAATTAAAATCGTAGCACATCTATAATTTTCGACAAGGGACCGTTCACAATCGCGAACAAAGGCTCGTAAAGCTATCCTCTCACCCTCCCAATGAATCGATGAAATATTACGTCGTTAGTTGGAATATAAATTTACATTCAATCTCCACTCGTCATCCTTTCCCCCTTTGGCAAATCTAACATTTTTTTTTCTTTTTTTTTTTTTTATTATTTCTCCTTTCGAAAATCGGCGGGTTCGATGAGTAAAAGAGGTTGGAGCGTTGGAGAGGATTCGATGTAACGACGCGTGTGCGCGTAGTAGAGCGTTGCTTGATTGCGAAAGAAGGATTGGAAACGAGCGAGAAAGCGGACAGGCAGCGGCCAGTCTGCCTCGACAAGGCAAATCGGCGAGCTTCTAAAACGAACTCGCAATCATTCTGCGACTCTGGCATTTATCGTCGTATCTGTCGATAATCGCGCATTCCGCCTCGTCGACCGCCATAAAGGTGTAGCTGTTCGACTCGCGGGGTGTCTTGATCCATACCTGGATCGCCGATCGAAATCGAGACACGAAAGAGAGAGAGAAAAAGAGAGAGAGCGAGAGAGTGAAAGAGAGAAGAGAGAGAGAGAAAAAGAGAGAGAGCGAGAGAGTGAAAGAGAGAAGAGAGAGAGAGA